GGTAGCCCCATTCTCAATATGATGACACTGAAGCAAAAGAGATTTATTAGGTGGCTCAAAGTCACATAGTCAGCGGTGAAGCTGGGATTGTGGCAGAGGCAGTGAGGCTCCAGAGTCTGTCTCCAAGGATGTCTTGGATCGTAAATAGGTACCCCCTGAATGAGAAACTCATGTTCATTATTTGCTCAGTGTAATAATCAAATCTCATTTGCTACTGGCTAACCTTTTTTAAGTAGCAGTGATAATATTGTTTTCTAAGTGTAAAAATATGAGAAATGAAAGTAATGTTAGCAGAGTGGAATAAAGTAAGGGTGGAGAATAGTGTCATCGATATCTTGATTGGACTAGATTCCGAGATTGTCTAGTTGAGTTCCATTATTTTCCAAGGAGCTAACTGAGATAGTCTTATAATTACACTTAGAAAATGACTCTTCCATTGAGCTTGGAATTTTCTCTCAAGTATTCCTCTTTTAGAAATCACACATTGAATCTCTCTTTTTGAGCACTCATAGTATTTAAATAGGATTGTAAATAAAACCATGTCACGCTGTTATTTATCTCTCTTTTCAGTGTCTTTTTTAATCCTCCCTCATCACCTGGCTAACACCAATAGTTGTGAAAATTAATATTAAGTGCTAGAGTGGTAGCTGGTGACAGCCAAGAATTAGTTTAATTCAGTTCAAAATCAATTGCCCAAAGGCAGCATTATGTAAAAGTGTGTTAAATATTGTAGTACAAGTAAAGAGAATTAGAGACCAAAAATGTTAATTAATTATGTAGTTAGTCCAATCTCTTGATATTTAATGAGAGATTCATGAAGACAGAAAAGCCTTTGGAGTATAAAGGATGAAAGGTATGATAGTGGACTTCCATAGTATTTTGTAAGATATTTCAGAAGAGGTTACCTTTCTTTCAATGCAGATCATATTGTAAAGATACCACAACTACAAAATTCAGAAGACTGACTCTAGGCTAATTTATTTATTTATAGTTTATTGTCACCATCAGAGAGTAAGCACTTTGTGAGCAGGAACACAGTCCCTGATGTTTGTGCCATGATGTAACATCTTGTAAAGAGAGTTACATAATATGTGAATGATTGTTGAGCTCTTAACTATTTTTCTCTATAGAATATCTGTTAAGACTTAGAGATAGAACTTTTTACCTATTTGGCCCCAAAGAAAATCATCTGGGGAGAAATGGATTTTTTTTGCAGTTTTTGGCCAGGGCTGGGTTTGAACCCACCACCTCCAGCATATGGGGCCAGCGCCCTACTCCTTTGAGCCAAGGTGCTGTCCGAGAAATGGAATTGTTAAGGAAAAGTCTATTGTGAGCTTGAGAAGAGGAACTCCTTAGATACACATGTAGTATATACTGTGGGTAAACCACTGTTGAAGATAAGAAAAAGATGTGCTCCAAGACACTGTGGATATGTTCACAGCCCTGTTCACAATTTCATTCCAGGTCCTATTGCCCTGAGCTTTCAGCTCTGATACAAACCTTACAGACGAGTAAATGGGAGAGAGTAACAATGTCACCGAATTTGTCCTCCTGGGACTTACTGAAGATCCTGATGGGCAAAAAGCATTACTGGTGATGTTTTTATTCATGTATGTTGTGACAATGGTGGGCAACCTGCTCATCATGGTCACTATTATCAAGAGCCCCTCCTTAGGCTCCCCAATGTACTTCTTCCTGGCCTTCCTGTCACTCATGGATGCTGCTTATTCCTCTGCCATTTCACCAAAATTGATTGTAGACTTACTCTGTGATAAAAAGACAATTTCCTTTCCAGCCTGCATGGGCCAGCTCTTTATAGAACACTTATTTGGTGGAGCTGAGGTCTTCCTTCTGGTGGTGATGGCCTATGATCGCTATGTGGCCATCTGTAAGCCTCTGCACTATTTGACTATCATGAATAGACGAGTTTGCATCCTTCTGTTGGTGGTGGCCTGGGCTGGAGGTTTTGTGCACTCTATGGTTCAAATTGCCTTTGTGTACAGTCTCCCCTTCTGTGGGCCTTATGTCATGGACCACTTCATCTGTGACATGTACCCATTATTGGAACTTGCATGTGCAGACACCTACTTTATAGGTCTCACTGTGGTTGCCAATGGTGGAGCAATCTGCATGGTGGTCTTTATCCTTCTCCTCATCTCCTATGGAGTCATTCTAAGATCCCTTAAGACTTACAGTCAGGAAGGGAGGCATAAGGCCCTGTCTACCTGTAGCTCCCATATCATCGTGGTGGTCCTGTTTTTTGTTCCCTGTATTTTCATGTATGTTAGACCTGTGTTCAACCTTCCTATTGATAAATTCATGACTGTATTTTATACAGTTATCACTCCCATGTTGAATCCTTTAATATACACCTTGAGAAATTCAGAGATGAAAAACGCTATGGAAAAACTCTGGTATAAAAAGTTAAATGTGAATGGAATAAGAATGTCTTTTGCACTGGCCACGTTTGTGACCAGTAATAAAGCAATGCACAGATGATGAATTCTAACAAAACACTGTATAGTCAATTCAACTGATTCTCTAGGGATGATTCTTTTCATTTTTACAAAGACATTGGAAAAGTGGAATTAATTACCTTTTGGGGTTAAGATCAATCTACCTGAGGAATTCTGCAGGATGAATGAAAGATATGCAAATTCAAGTAAAAATAAAACTAAGGTCATCTTGTAACTGTATTTTTCTTAGTTTATATTGAAATGGCACTTAGAAGAAAGTGGTTTATTCATTTTAAAGGAGGAAACCAGGTGTTTTTGAAAATTTACTATCACTCATTCATGAGAAAGGAATTTGGCCAATACTTAGAACAAATCTCTAGGGCCCAAAGAGTGAATTTTAAGTTTTAATGTTCACTATGTTTTCAGCAAAGCAACTTTCTTTAGTTGTATTATGCATTTTTTCTTATGATTACTTCTGTTTCTCAGGCCAATGTCCATGGATTTCCAGTTCAGGACACTTGGTTGGCAGATGATATTGTTAGTTAAAGACACTATCAGTGGACAATTTGGTTGGAGGAAATGTGGATGATGAAGAAACGGATTCTAGTTCTTGATTATGAGATAGATACTGCACTTTCTTATATTTTTGTGATTTTCTTCAGTATTTATGTGCACTTTTGGCATTCGTAGAAGAACATGTAAAACTTCTTACCTTGTGTTCATGAATCTGTAGATATGGGTAAAGAAATGTGTTGTTTTGCACAAGCAATGTGTTTCCTAATTCAATTTTAATACTTTTACTTATAGACTTAAAATTGATTTGTGTGGTATAGTTTTTATTTTCCATTTTCTAAAAAAATAAGTTTTTTCTAATTAGCAGCCATCTTGAAATATCACAAATCAGAAAGAACATAGAATTGCTTTCATTGTAATATGCAACATCATCTATGCTTTGTTATACTTTATAATTAAGAAAATAAATTTTATCCTTGTTATGTCTTTGCCTAAAGGTATATCCCAATGCTAAACTTATCCTTTACAATATACCATTCAGACTTTCCTCTTCCTTAACCTTTGTTAAAATTATATTATATGGTACATAATTTCTGAATTTTAATTTTGTCTATGATGTCAACTTTCTAAAACTTGATAATGATGCTGCATGCAACTTTAGTCTCATCATTTCTCCTGTTGTGTATTATTCCATGTGCGAATATTCTCAAACATAACATAGTCATTTGTGTTGTTTCCAGGTCGGTTCCCCCTGCCCCACATAGTATTGCTATGGACACTCCGATAGTAATTCTTTTGTGTTTAGGTAGAATGTTTATATATTCACTTTTATAGATGGTTTAGTTTTTCCTAATACTGTGTTTTAAGTGACATATGTACCAGCAAGGCATACCAATTCCATTCCTCTGTATCTTGCCAATAGCTGATTTGGTGAAATGTCTGATACTTTGCTAATGTAGTGGCTTTAAGGCAGTGGGTTCAGAGGTGGAGCAAGACAGAAGACCAGAAGGATTGTTCAGCTGAGCACTCCTAGAACAACTGGGGAATAAGAGAGAACCCAGCCATACCTGGCGTGGGGACCTTACATGGAGTCCTAGCTCAGAGAACATGTGAGGTGGTAAGCTGGACACAGTGTGTGATCTGAAATGGTGGAAATATGATGCATTAGGCCAGTGACTATGACTCACCAGGATCAGCTGATCTACCCATGGAGGTCCATGATGTGAAGAATCCTCTCTGGAGTTTTCAATTTGTGAGGGAAGCTGCACATTTAGTAGAAAGCTTGGAAGAGTGAGTGGATTCTAACAGTATACAACAATCAGATTTGAATACTGGATGGAGTGGATTTGCAATTCTTTTGGTAGCTGGTGAGACAGCCATATGGGGAAAGTCTTGCTGGCTGAGGGCTGCCATTGTGGGATGTTGTGAAGTTTCAACAGAGGCCTAAAGGATGGTTGTCTTAATTCCCCCTGCCAGGATTAGAATATCAGTCTTGGGACAGGCTGAGGGACTCCTGCACCTCATACAAACTGGTCCCAAGGGGCACTGTGAGACCTGCCCCTAATGGATTTTGGAGAGTTTTAAGATACTAACCCAGTGGGGTCTGAATGCTGAGGAAACAATCAGGCCATCATTGAGGGCAACAAGTTAGGAATAAGAACCACAGAGGTTGTTGGTTGTATTCTCTGTCTTCTAAAAAACACATAGTGCCCACCTGGTGTCCTGGCAACGTATTGTAACATGTATACTCCTATTAAAGTTGGTCCCTTCTGTTATATATAATTTTCTTTTAGTATTTTTATTTTTTTCCCACTTTTTAAAATTCTTTTTTTCCCTCATCTTTTTACTATTGGTGAGGTTGCTGTAATTTTTGGCCATTTGAGCTTTTTTTGTTTTGTTTTTGTTAATTTGGTTGGTTCAGATCTTAACTTCCATTTTTACTTTCATTAAGAGCAAGGACTCCTGTATTTTTGTTTTTATTTTTATTTTTTGCAGTTTTTGGCCAAGGCTGGGTTTGAACCCTCCACCTCTGGCACGTGGGGCTGGTGCCCCACCCTTTTGAGCCATAGGCACCGCCCTGTATTTTTGGTGATAAAGAAGAGTTTGGCTATGCTCAGGCTGGTAAGCAGCTCCTGATTTCAAGGAACCCACCCAGCCCAGCCACTCAAAATTCTTGAATTATAGGCATGGCTTTAACACCATGCCAATCAATACACTTCTTCTATCACTCTTATTTGTCTCCTCCTGTCCTCATTCTCTCCTATTCTTCAATTTTTTTCTTTCATCCCCTTCCCTTTTTTCCCCTTCTTTTCTCTTTCCTACTTTTTTCTTCCTTCATTCTTTCCCCCTTCTTTCTCCCTGCTTGTGCTGTACCCTTCTCTTCCTTTTCACCTAAGCCTTGAGAGAAGGTAATTTAAAGCAAAGGAAAAAGTGACAAGGGAAAGGAAGTGAAAAGGGAGGACAAGGAGGTGAACAAGAAGAAAGCACACAAAAGGAGGAAGTAACAGAAAAATTCGGGCAACATTAAAAACCAAAACAGAGCAACTCCCCCAAGGGACCATGAAGCAGCTACTGTAGAAGACTCCACCTATGGAGAATTAATGGATTTGACAGAAAGGGAATTTAAAATATGGATAATAAAGTCAATAAAAATAATGGATAAGAGAATGGGTAGAATGAACCAAAAGTCACATGAGAGAGACATAGACTATAGAAAAGATATGGTGGACCTTAAGGAAATGAAGGAGACAATCAGAAAATGTAAAGATTCAGTGGAAAAGAATCAAAAATATATTAGATCATGGAGAAGAAAGAACAACAGAGCCAGAGGATAAAGTGCTCAAGTTAACCCAGGTAGTCAAAGTGGCAGAAAAGAAGAGAGAGAAAGCAGAACAGGCACATAGAGTACGTTGAGATTCTATGAAGTGTTCAAACATATGATTAATAGGGATCCCTGAAGGGAAAGAAGATTGGCCCAAAGGAATGGAAGTCCTACTGGAGACTATAATAAATGAAAACTTCCCAAGTATTACTAAAGATCCCAAGACATTCCTTTCAGATAGATATCAAACCCTGGGTAATCTCCACTGAAACAGGGCTTCTCCAAGACATACTGTAATGAATGAAAAAGTTATGCACTCAGCCATGAGTAAGTGCCAACTAACCTACAGAGGCAAAGCCATTAGGATGACAGCAGACTTTTGAACTGAAACTTTCCAAGTAAGAAGAGAATGGTCATCCACTTTCAACATCCTTACATGAAACAATTTTCAGACCAGAATTCCATATCCTGAAAAACTAAGCTTCAAAATTGATGGAGAAATAAAATCTTTTGTGAATATGCAGACACTGTGGATCTTCACCACAAGAAAAGCACTACAGGAAATACTTAGACCTATTCTCAACACTGATTATCACAATGGACCACAGGCAAAGTAAACACCCAGAAGCTTCAGGCCAAACACTTGGTAAACTATTCTTTAGTTGCCATGGAGATTGGGGCCTGTCTTACTGATTTAGTTGCCCTCAGTCAGTGCGTGGTTGTTGTGAGCATTCACTCCCTGCAGGGTTTGGGTCTTAAAGCTGTCCCTGGAATCCTTAAGAGACATGTTTCACAGTGCCCCCTGACAATAATTCCTAAGGGTGTGGGAGTTGCTCTTTCTTTGTCTTCTCCCATATTTTGTTATTTTTGAGTGCCAGACTTTACATATAAAAATCTGCAAGACAATTTAAGACTTTTTACAATGTTCTTTAAGAGAAGATTCCCTGTATTTCTATGTGGCAGCTAGGATTAGCGAAGTAAAGAATCCAGAGAGCTTAGAGCAATGAAGAAATGAGATGAATCAAGATGGGTTTGAGTGCCTTTGAGGACTACTCTATTTGCTATTCTCCTCTGCTCTCAAAATTGTCGCAAATGAAAGCCTGGCTATTTAAAAAGACTCCTATCCTAGGTAGACCTTAGATTTCACTTGTGAAGGAAGAATACAAGTTCCTCACCACTGGCTTTAGTGTTTGATAGAACTTCTTTTTTTTTTTGATACAGTCTTACTCCGTGGCTCTCCAGTTGAGTTCTATGGCATCATAGCTCACAGCAAGCTCAAATTCTTGGTCTCAAGTGATTCTCTTGGTTCAGTTTCCCAAGTATCTGGCACTATCAATGCCCATCATGATGCCTGGCTATTTTTTAGAGACAGGGTCTAGATCTTGCTGAGGCTGGTCTGAAACTCCTGAGTTAAAGCAATTTCCCTGCCTCAGCCTCCCAGAGTGCTGGGATTACAGATGAACCACTGCATCCAGCCCTGTTTGACAGAACTTTTGCAGAATTCTTTAGGGATATTCATTTAAACAATGTAGCTGAAAGAAATACAGAGAACAAAGGATATTCTTAAGCCGGCCCCTGTGGGTAGATGGTTGTATTACATGTAAACCTGCTGAGGCACAGGTAGAGCTCTACATCACTTTCCAGAAAAACATTTTAAGGCTCCATGAGCAGCCAGGTAGGAAGGAGTTAAGTCTCTGTAGAGGGAAGTC